CACGTAGTGCATATAAACTCACACAGGCACACACAATTTAAAACTGTTTAAAAGAAAACATATAGCAAAAAATTTTAAAGACACACTGGGAAGTTTTATTGTTTAAAATCACAACTCCTTTAAATCAAAATGCTGACATAATGACGGCCCACAAAGGTCAGGGGTGCAAACGGTAAGAAACTTCACCCGTTCCTTTTGATAATTACCCCACAGTCTATATTTTCTTTTTCTGTAACTGTGTTCTTTGCCTTCAGACTAAACAGTCCAAACCACAGGGCTATCTACACAAGCAGGACTTCAAAGAAACTCTTCGCTGACTCCAGAGCTGGCCAGGCAAACCGAGTGCCTGCTGAAACTTCAATACACTGCTCGATTAGGTCCACCAGCCATTCCTAAATTCTGAAAACCTCCTCACCTCTAGAAACCTAAAAATTTTCCTAAGTTCATGACAATCTCACTTGGCAGCCAAATCTGACCCAAACAGGAGTGTGACTGTTTATAGTTCTTACTGATTCTAGTTTTAGTTTATCTAATCTCTGCTTGACATTAATATTTTTATGGAACATGATGGCCCATCTCCACTGACATGCTGTAGTGTATAAGCATTATATGATGTCTAAGCCCCCAGCAACAGTGTTCTTAAATGCATCTGGTAAAACAGGATTTGGAGAGAATCATGTGCTCACAGTAAGAAGGAACTATCAATTTCCTTTCTACTTTATGTCTATTCTTTCCAGATCCTTAGGCAACTGTGCTCCTGTCTATCATCTTACAACCGTAGAACAGTCCCCTTGAAAATGACTTTCTTCATTCTGCTGTTAGGTTTTTTTGTTGCCTATTTGCTTGTTGTTTTTGAGACAGAGCCTGTCTTTGTAGTTCAGGCTGGCCTTGAACTCTCAACCCTCCTGCCTCTCCATTGGGGTGCTGGGGTTACAGGCATGAATCACCATGCCTGGCTCAGTTTGATGTATTGGAATCTAAGTGCTCTTACTCATATGTGAGACTTTCTTTTTAAATCGGGTTATAGGACATGCTATACTTCTCTGGGACCCTGTGGCTCACTGAAATCAGATGAGTCACTGTCATCCTCACATGAATCATCACAGGAACTAAGTTAGAGAACAGAAAGATCTAATGGGAAACTTGTTCCGGAATGCGTTTCAGAAACTGATGTCACATTTACAAGCCACTGACGTCTGGCTGCCTCACTCATGAAAGAAAAATTTTTCCAGATGAAGATGTAAGGGGGGCTATGATTGTAAAGAGGAAAAACCCAAAACATTTCTGAGTGAATTAACTAAGAAATGTATTGGCTGCATGTGAATAAACTGCTACTGCAGAACTTGTAAAACCAAACAGCATATTTGGTTTTAAACCACAGAGGGCATTCAGGTGGGCTTAAGTTGAAAGACTGTCTATTTGGAGACATGGGGAAGTTTGTACAGCTCCCTCAAAGATTTCCGTGTCCCACCTGTATGTTACAGACGGTGTTAAGTCTCAAACCTGCAACAAATGGCTGAGGTGCCTATCTAACAGCAAAATGGACCTGGCTCCCAGGTTCTTTCTCCCTGCATCCCTCAGTCCCTATCTGCTTCAGGGGGGTATGGCTGGCGCACCTTGCCCTCTACCCACGAACTCTCCAGCCCAGGGATTGGGCTGCCCTTCCCTATATAATCCAGCCATTTTGGTTACTTGCCTCCTTTTTACCTTTCACCCTCTTGTCTGCTACACCCGGTTCCCCTCTCTCCCTCTCCTCAACTCTCTCCCCTCTCCTCACATGACTCAGGGTCGTGTCCACTCTGGACTCTGCCGATGTCTCTGCCTCGCATCATGCTCTCCCTTCTATCTACAATAAACTTTCTCCTCCACATACCTAGGAGCAGTCATGTCCTTCCTTTTTCTTTTTTTCATTCAGCGAGCACATGCAAGGCTCTGGGTTCGATCATCAGTACTGCAAAAATAAAATGAATTTACATGATATTTATTCTCCATAATCTGGAATTTTAATACAATTCTGTGATGTTTAATATTGTCAACTTGACAGACTCTGAAATACCCAGGAGGCCAGGCTCTGGGCATGTCTGTTAGGAAGTTTCTATACTGAGTGATTGAGGTGAAACAAGCCTATCTAAACATGGGCAGCATCATTTCAAGCTGGGTTTCTGAAATAAAAAGAAGAAAACAAGCTAAGCTCCAGCATCCACTCATATCTCTCTGCTGTGAACACAGATGCAACGAGGCCTCCTGCTGCCACCGCCAAGACTTCACCTCCACGGTGGACTGTGCACTAAAACTACACGTAAATCCTTTACCCCGTGACTTCACCTCTGTAGATGTAACCAACGGTCTTATTAAATAAGAAACACAGAGCCGATTCAGAGAAGAAAGCCAAGAGGTCAGAGCTAAGAGCCTCACCCTTCCTGATTCAGGGATCCTCTTTAGCCAAGAGAGCTCTCCGAAAAAGACCTACTTCCTGTGTGTCTGTCTTTAAAGTCTTCCTGTTCTGCCTTCTCATTGGTTGTAAACCCAAACATGTGACTGCCTCGTCACTGCCTGAATGTACCACCCTCCAGGTCCTTAAAGGCGTGCGCCACCACTGCCACGCACTTGCTATGGCTCTAATAGCTCTGACCCCCAGACAACTTTATTTATTAACATACAATTAAAATCACATTTCAGTACAAGTAAAATACCACCACAGGATGGTCTGTATGTCAAATGTGTTGCTGATTGGTCAATGAATAAATCACTGATTGGCAGTGGCCAGGCAGGAAGTATAGGCGGGACTAACAGAGAGGAGAATTGAGAGAACAGGAAGCTGGGTGAGGGAGACACTGCCAGCCGCCATCAGGACAAGGAAGATGTAAAGTACCGGTAAGCCACAAGTCACGTGGCAAGGTATAGATTAATAGAAATGGATTAATTTAAGCTGTAAGAACAGTTAACAAGAAGCCTGCCACGGCCACACAGTTTGTAATCAATATAAGTCTCTGTGTTTACTTGATCGGGTTTGAGCGGCTTGGGACTGGTGGGTGAGAGAGATTTGTCCTGACTGTGGGCCAGGCAGGAAAACTCCAACTACACACCTCCACAGTGGGCTATGTGTACTAAAACTATACGTAAATCCTTTAGCGCGTGACTTCACCTCCATGATGGACTGTGCACTAAAACTACAAGTAAATCCTTTAGCCTTTGCCAGGTGTCTCATCACGGCAATGAAGAGAACACTAGACAGAAAGCTGGTGTCACCGGGGGGCGGGGGGGGGGGGGGGACTGGGAGAGTGGAGCCAATAAATGAGGCAGACTAACGTCTCATGCACTGGCCAACTTCATTCAGAGCCTCAGACAGTTTATACTCTGAGGGTTAGAAGAATCACATGAGTAAAGTGTACAAACACAAGCTGCACGTAGCAAAAACATGTTTTTCCATAGGGGCATATATACAAATAACAACAATGAATAATCTGAAGTAAACGCACTCCTGTCTGCTACACCTGGGAGGGGCATGAAAACACATTCCAAGAACAGTTCCATGGTTTGAAGAACTAAGGTGACAAGACTCTTGTTTTCTTGACGTTTTCTCACAAACACCCAGAATTCTCCCACAGCTCCATTCCTGGACCCTGTTCTGACATGCAGGTACTTACAAGTGAAGCTGTTGCTGGAGTAACCATGATTATGTAGTTCTTAGGCCAATGCAAATGGTTTGTAGGAGGAGTGTAGACGGATTTAGAACTTCGGCCTAGAAGATCTCTAGAATCCTGTATGCAGAACCTATCGGGGCATTTTCATGGACTCTGGAAGACCAGACTGCCAAGAGAAATCTGACAGTGGAGGTTTCTGGGGATAAGGACTACATTCTGCCCACATCCTGAGAACTTGATTGACACAAACTCAAAAGCAACTGGCCAATGTTTTGGTGGAAGAAATCTCAAAACAAGCTTGTATTTATGCTGTGTCACGGGCACTGTTTGCTGCTCGTCTGGATCTTCATATACAGCAAAATCCGGAGCAAGTGTGAGCAAGTTTAAAATTACACACACGCTATGTCTGAAAGCCCCATAATTGTTAAAGAGATTAGTGCAATTAAAGAGAAACCTGGAGCTCTTCACTGGGACAGCAGGAAAGGTGTCTTGGGGGCAGTCATGGAGGATTCCACCTTGTGGAAGGCAAAGCTGGACTGAATGCCTTTAGCATTATGAGACAGCAAAGAGCCAGTGGCCGCAGGGGTTGAAAAGCCATGACATAAAAAGTTTGGGGGCTGGAGAGACGACTCAGCAGTTAAGAGCACTGGTTCTTCTTCTGGAGGAACCGGGTTCAATTCCCAGAACCCACACACAGCTCACAACTGTCTGTAACCCCAACACCCTCATACAGATATACATGCAGGCAAAACACCAACGCACACAAATAAAAGTTTTTTTAAAGTTATATGGCTGTCAAGTTGATAAGGGATCAACTTGTGATAGTGAATATTGTCAACTTGAAAGAGACAAGCTCTGGGCATGTCAGCAGTGAGGGATTTTCTAGATTGAGTTGCTGAAGGAGGAGGACCCACCTGAAATATGGTGGCTGAGGGCCCAGACTGAACAAAAAGAAAGGAAGCTGAGACCAGCATTCACGTCTCGGCTTCCTGGTTGCATGTGTCATGTGAGCAGCTGCCTCCTATTCCTACTACATGCCTTCCCCACCTTTATGGACTGTATCCCTTCAAAATAATAATTTTAATAACAATTAAATAATTGTCATTATTTATATAATTATAAAAATTAAATTAACGTTTATATTATATTGGTGAAATTTTTTTTTTGTTTGTTTTTGTTTTTGTTTTTCGAGACAGGGTTTCTCTGTGTAGCTTTGCGTCTTTCCTGGAACTCACTTGGTAGTCCAGGCTGGCCTCGAACTCACAGAGATCCGCCTGGCTCTGCCTCCCGAGTGCTGGGATTAAAGGCGTGCGCCACCACCGCCCGGCTATTGGTGAAATTATTAAGGCCACTCCATGTAGTTAAAAGGGAGGTTTATTTAGTGGCGTAACTTACAAATGAAGGGATAGGTAGGTTGCAGGTTCTGGGAAAGGTGTAGTGCAGTCCAGTGGTGTTCTCTGGAGAACTCTGCTCTGTCTACCTCCAGCATTCAGGGTCCAGGAACCAAGAGAGGTGACACATCCAGATCTCGGGTCTTCAGGGTCCTCTCTTGGCCCCCGCCTTGTAGGTGTGACAGTTACCAAAGCCTTAATGGGGTTGGAACTTCCAGATCAAAGCTGGAATGGCTACCCACTACAATATTTAAAATAATAAAATAAATATAAAATTAAATAAATTATACAAATAATAAGTAAATACAAACAATAATAAAAATAAAAACAAAATAATGATAGTTTCAAAATAATCCAAACAATACAACCTGAAATAAGCCTTTCTTCCTGTAAATTGCCTTCCCTCAGGATCACAGCAACGAGAAAAGTAACTAATACAAATGCCAATCAAAATTGTAACTCTTGGGTCCCACTCATAGCCCTGGCTGTCCTGGAACTTCCTAGACCAGGCTGGCCTCGAACTCAAAAAGATCCACCTACCTCTGCTTCCCAAGTGCTGGGAAGTGCGGCCACTACACCTGTTACCCAGGGATGCACACCACTAAAACCTTAAAAATGGAGCTACATTAAACAGGGCCAGCGAGACAGTTTGTTTTTCTTTTCTTTTTCTTTAATTTTGGTTTTTCGAGACCGTTTTCTCTGTGTAGCCTTGTCTGTCTGTCTTAGAATTCGCTCTGTAGCCCAGGCTGGCCTCAAACTCAGAGATCTGACTGCCTCTCCCTCCCAAGTGCTGGGATTAAACGCATGTGCCACCACCACCACCACCACCACCAGGTTAATCTTGCTCCTTTTAAGCACATTTCAGATGGAGTAAATAGTGTGTGTGCACATGTATATTAAAACCCCTGCAACTGTACAAGGAAATGCAACAAGTTAAGCAGGAAGTTAAGGTGGAAATAGAAGGCTGACAGAAATACACAAAAGTTAACGCTGTCCTTCACAAACCAAACCTTACTGGCTATCTTAGAAGATTAATTTCATAACCAAGCAATTTTTGCAACATTTAAATAAAAGTTAATGCTGCCAATATACAGAAGCACTATAGATTTTTAAAATGTGAATACTTCAAATTTAAAAAACAGAAATTCTAAGCGAGCAATTCACAAAGAACCAGTAAACATATGGAAAACATTCAGTTTATACGTAGGTAACAAAATACGAATTTACCCAAGAGCCTTTTAAAAGACTAATTAGTAATGGAATGAGGTACGCACACAGCATTCTCATATTCTTCTTGGAAAATGCACTTTAATAAAAACACTTCCAGGGTGACTGTTAACATTCAGAATCTCACAAATGTGTGCTCCCTTTGACCTAGCAACCTATCACAGCTTGTAGAAATGAAAACCTGTAAATATCTTCAATGTCCACTAACTAGGGATTCTTCAAACAATTAAAAGAGACAAACAACCATTTTAAATGTTTATAAGACCTAGAGAAACATGCACCAAATACCTCTTTGTGCATATCTGAAAGCTCTGCATTTACATAGATAGCAGGGAGGCAATACTCTCATGCCCTGGGTTGAGTTTCTTGCCCCACCCAAGTGGACAGACCACCCTAGGTAGCCCAGGCCCGCCTCAAGCTAACACTGATCCTACCTCAGCCTCCCTAATGTAGAGATTACTCCATTTCATTGTTTTCCCCCTCCATGGTTTTTGAGACAGTCTCGCTACGTAGCCCAGGCTGGATTCGACTTCACTGCAATCCTCCTGCCTCAACCACTCCCGACTTTTTTTTTTATTGCTTAAATATTTTGGATATAATTGTGTGCTTTTGGAAGGCTGCTAGCATAACAAACCGGAATTTTCTGAGTGCATTATTCTTAGGAGGAGGCGATGGAAGAACTACTAATCTGCAGAGGGAGGAGCGTTGCCTGGACCGTTCCCGGCACAGGAAAGGTGAAGGGCTCCGAGCCCCGCCACCGGAAACAGCCCCCGCGCCGGGGGATTGTGGGCCATGGGCGGAGGCCGTGACCGCCGAGGGAGGGGGTTAGCCTTCTGGGGAAGAGCGGTCCCGCTTCCCGTTCGAATGAGCGCATCCTGCGCCGTGTTTGCGCGGAGACGTGTGAGAAGAGCGTGGGGACACACCGGGAACAGCCCTCCCGCTCCAGCGTACCGGGCGGGCGGCGTGAGCGCCCCTGCCAACGAGGCGGGACGACACTGCGTGCCTAGAGCGGCCGCTTCAGGCTGTGCGCGTGCGCAGAGGCGGCCCGGCCCGGCGCGCTTGGCGCGGGCAGTGAGTGATGCGAACGCGTCCGTGGTCCCCGCGCTGGGGGGCCCCAGGGCCAGGCAGGCGGAGGGGGGCGGGCGCAGGTCCTGCAGGCGGCTCAGGTAGCCCCCAGACTGCCGGACGACCCCTCTCTCCGCAGCAGTCACTGCTGGAAAACCACATAGGGCCCGGCCACGCTCTGTTTGGGATGAAGGTTGATGACCAGTTCTGGAATGATGACTGTTCAAAACGGATGATGGGTTTTGGCTTTGAGGCGTGAGTCCAACGTTTGAGTAGCAATGCTGATAATTTATTTTTGAGACAGGGCTTACCCTGTACCCCAGGTTGGCCTGGAACTTGGCCTGCTGTCAACCCGGGTTTCCTGAGTGCACAATTACAGCTTTGTGCGGCCACGCCCGGCTGAAGTGAGATATGATGGAAGCTTGGTTTGCGAATGCAGAATGCGGCGTTAGCTCAGTGACAGAGCTGTCTGTATCCAGGTTAAAGGCTCGGCGTTCAGTCCCCAACAGGAAAAAAAAAAAAAAAAAAAAAAAAAATTGAAGTAAAGCAACGAAAATACATTGTTTTCTTTGACTAAAAAAACTTCATAGGGATTAATTAGTAAGTTTGACATAAAACTATATTGTTTATAATTTCAGACAGCAGATAAGAATCACAAAGTTTGGGAAGAATAAAACCGGATACCTGGAAGCCACATAAGACTTCAGGTCAGACATTTCCAGACCAACTAGTTAAATAACAAGCAAAGGAAGAAAAAAAAACATATCTAGAGGATGCTCATTTATGAAATGCTTAAAGCTTATGTCCTCGTCTGGTTTAACATAAATTATATAACTGATGAAAACTTTATACTTAAATTATATTTACCAATAATGAGAATTTACCCATTTAGCAATAATGAGAATTTTAAGACATCAGAACCTTTAACTCCATCATTCTTAAATTTTTTTAATGAGAAAATGCAAAAAACAAGTTCGACCAGCTAGTGTGCATTTTAAGCCCAAGCCTTTTCATTTCAGACTATGAGGTTTTTCGGAGTGGAGAGACGGCTCAGTGGTTAGGAGTGCTTCTTACTCTTAGAACCAGTTTGGTTCCTGGCCCCCACGTAGGGCAGCTCCAAACCACTGTGACACTAGTCCCAGGGCAGTCACTCTCTGGCTCAGACACAATTGTTTTAGATTATGAGGGCTACTTTTCTAAAATTGTTAAAAAAAAAAAAAAAAAAAAAAACGAACAATAGTAGTATGTTTAGTTAGAAATGTTTGAAAGGGATGAGTGAAATTGCCCAGTGGGAAGAGGCCTTGCTGCTGGGCCTGACCACCTGAGTTCAATGCCCAGGTTCCGCGTGGTGGAGTAAGAGAAGCAGCTCCTGAAGTTTGTCCCCTGCTGTCCACACCCTCATACACAATAAGTAGAAAGTAGTGGGGAAAAATAGAAATATAAGAAAGTACTTGTAAGGAGAAATCATGAATCCCTCTGTCCAGAGTTAACATCTATTAATATCTTAGTGTTATCCTGGTTTTTTTCTATCATATTTTTATTGATATGGAATCAGTAAATGACATATTTGATAGAGGAGCAGAAGCCAGCCTGTTTGGAGGTTAAGGTTTATGAGGGCCTCACTTGATTATCATTTGGATTATCATCAAATGAACATGCTTTACTTTTTGGTAAAAAAAAAAAAAAAAAAAAAAAATAAGCCCTAAAATATATTTTTTTCCTTTTCAACCAGGAAAACCAAAGATAATGAAAAGAAAGGAATATATTATGAACATTGTTCATATTAAATACTCTGTAGTTATGTCATTGATTTAAAATAGTCCTTTGACACTTGTTTCTAGGCACATGTGTGTGTTCATCAGAGGACAGCTTTGAGGATTTGATTCTGTCCTTCCACCATGCACATTCTGGATATTGGATTTGGGTCACTTGTCAAGCTTGGTGGCAGACACCTGACCTGCTGAGCCATCTCACCAGCCAAAATTCTCAATTTAAAAAATGAATCGGCTTGAGACACTTAAACATGGGTTTGTTTCCTGTGAAAGCTGTCTAAACTGAGAAAGTACAAAGCCCTCAAGCCCCAAGAGTGGGGAAGAGACAGCAGTAGATGAGAGACATTAAAATAGTCTTACTGGAAAAAAAGAAAGGGGATCTAAGCAGAGTGCAAAGGTGTAGACAGATTTTTCTTTGGGCTACCAGCTCACAAATAATGACATGGAGACTTATTATTAATTATGAAAGCTCAGCCTTAGCTTAGGCTTGTCCCACTAGCTCTTATAACAAATTAACCCACTTATTTTAATCTATGCTCTGTTGTATGGCTTGTTACCTCATCTCTCTGCACTTCCCATACTGCATCCTCTGTGTCTGGCTGGTGACTCCACCTTCTTCCCAGAGTTCTCTCTCTGCCCGGAAGCCCTGCTTATACCTCCTGCCTAGCAACTGGCCGGTCAGCTTTTTATTATACCAATCACAGCAATACATTTTCACACAGTGTACAAATACCCCCCAATACAAGGGGCTGTCAGAAGTAAAGAATTTAGGCTGGGTATGGTGGTATAGGCCTGTGTTCCCAAACTACTTTGGAGGCTGAGCAAAAGAATGACAAATTCAAGACCAGTTGGGCAACTTAGATCCTGTGTAAAAATAAAATCTTAAAGGGCCATTAGCAGAGCGCTTAACTATTATGTACAGGACCACGTGTTAATTTCCCAGTACTTCAGAGTCGGGTGAGGGTAACAGTTTATACTTTACAACTCCAGAAAGGCTCATAAATTGGAGGTACCACATCAGGGAATGGTATAAAGGGAAGACCAGGGGTTTGATTGAAAGTCTGTACTTAGGTTTCTGGTTTCAAGACACCCCCAGTTCTGTGAGAAAGAAGGTACATTTGGTGGGGATTTAAATTAGAAGGCCTAGGTTTTAAAACCGAAACAAAAGCTGATCAAATGGAAGTCAGTATACTGACTGGTGAAACCAACCCTTTTCCTACTTATTACTCTTAGGAACACTCAATAACCACCCCAAACACAGCCAGAGAAGAATTTCCTCTACACAGAGGCCTCAGATTCCACACCTCAAGGTGACATTTTCGAGTACTTTAACAACGTGACCTGGTCCCTGCATCATCCATTTTGCACTGTCTTTGAGTAGTGAAGTTAAGCAGTAAACAGATAGCCAGCTCATGCAGACCCCTGCGTAGGCCTCACAACCCTCTGCAGGCCTCACAGCCCTCTGCAGGCCTCACAGCCCCTGCAGGCCTCACAGCCCTCTGCAGGTCTCACAACCCTCTGCAGGCCTCACAGCCCTCTGCAGGTCTCACAACCCTCTGCAGGCCTCACAACCCTCTGCAGGCCTCACAGCCCTCTGCAGGCCTCACAGCCCCTGCAGGCCTCACAGCCCTCTGCAGGCCTCACAGCCCCTGCAGGCCTCACAGCCCCTGCGTAGGCCTCACAGCCCCTGCGTAGGCCTCACAGCCCTCTGCAGGCCTCACAGCCCCTGCAGGCCTCACAACCCTCTGCAGGCCTCACAGCCCTCTGCAGGCCTCACAGCCCCTGCAGGCCTCACAGCCCTCTGCAGGCCTCACAGCCCCTGCAGGCCTCACAACCCTCTGCAGGCCTCACAGCCTTCTGCAGGCCTCACAGCCCCTGCAGGCCTCACAACCCTCTGCAGGCCTCACAACCCTCTGCAGGCCTCACAACCCTCTGCAGGCCTCACAGCCCCTGCAGGCCTCACAACCCTCTGCAGGCCTCACAGCCCCTGCAGGCCTCACAACCCTCTGCAGGCCTCACAACCCTCTGCAGGCCTCACTGAAAGGTTTACAACATGCCCCCACGGTCGGGCGTGTTCGCATATGCCCAACAGACACTTCCACCTAGCCAGTTCCAGGTCAGGATAGCCATTTCCGGGTCAGGACATCTCGCATGACCAAGATCCGTGACGTTCCATTGGCTACGTAGGCGCGCAACGTGGCCATGTGATCTACGCGCTTGCGTGTAGTAGTGACGCTGATCTGTCCACGCCCAGCCTTTAAAATCCGGCGCCATGTTCCCGGTTCCTTCTTCTTCTTCTTCCTCCTTCTTCTCCACACACGTGTTTCCTGCAGGCCTGTTCACTCTCTGTCCCTTTACCTTTAATAAAACTCTTGTTAGCGGATTCTGTCGTGTTTCGTGGCATTTCCTTGCAGGGTAAGAACACAACGCAGCCGAAAAACTAACACTCACAGCCCCTGCAGGCCTCACAACCCTCAGCAGGCCTCACAACCCTCTGCAGGCCTCACAACCCTCTGCAGACCTCACAGCCCCTGCAGGCCTCACAACCCTCTGCAGGCTGTTATGCCAGATTGTGACCCCAAAGATTCCACCAGAGACCTTAGGTACAGAATGCAATAGCATGGTTTATTTCTGTTTACAAGCCGCGGGCAGGGAAGCTCGATCCAAAGCACTCACTCGTAGTAACCATGAGGCCAGGAGGAACTTGCTTTTTCTTTGTGTGGCTAGCTTTTTAAAGGCAAAATCCACAAGCCCTTCAGGGGGGTTGGGGGAGTTTTGCACGGGTGCAACTCGGATTGGTTTATTTTTATCTCTGTTCTCTTTTAATTGGGTGAGGGTATGTAACCTTTGAATTTACTGGTTGGTGGTTACAATTTATTACTTTGGGGGCAGTCCAGCACAAGTCCCAGGCTTTGTCCTTGAGCCACCAGGGGGGCTGGCTGGCCAAGCACGTACTGCACATAACTCTAAGTTGGTGAGGGGCCCCAGAGAGTAAACATCTGGCTGAACTTTGAGCAGTCAGAGTACATGCAGAAAGGGAGCTACTGCAAGGACTATGTCTTTTGTTCATGGCCCTCCCAGAAACTGCTTGCTCAAGTCTCAGGAAACTGAAATTGAGGCCTGATCTCTGAGAGAAGACTGAGCAGCCTGTTATGGCATCTGCTTGGTCCTTTCACAGGCCTCACAGCCCCTGCAGACTCTGCCTTCTGAAAATTAGACGAAGCCTCCTTGTCCCAGTGCTCAGAAATGACAGCCTCGGAGATTACTAAATTCTTTCAGAGTCTCTCTTCCCTTTTCTGGGAAGACTAAATGTTCACTCTGCTGCATATAGTCAGACCCTTTCATCTACATTTCACTATATGTGGTTTCATTTCCCACGCTCAACTCAGTCTGGAATGTTAAATTGAAAGTTCCAGAAGTAAATGATTTGTAAGTTGTAAATTATGCACCATTCTGCATAGCATGGCAGAATCTCCTGCCTTCTGCCCCATCCTCCACAGGTTGTGACTCATCCCGTCATCCTGCAGTCCACGATCCAGATGCTGTTTTCCCTTAGTGAGCCGTGTTAC